TTTTTCCGCAGGCGAAAGAATGCTTCAGCAGCTTTCACGGCCGACAGTCGTTAAGTGCTAGACGAGATAAAGCTAAGAGCCCAGCAAATTTGCCATGTATGGAAGTCCGAAATGAAGTTTGGCATACCATCCGTCTACGGGTCTAGAAAGCCACCAATCAAGACAACTGTTACGGTAAGGGTGAGTTCTCCGGCAGCTAAGAAGTGATCGCCCAACGACTAAGCCATCTCTCTCAGTATATGCTTCCTCTGAAGCGTAGGTTTGGAACGGGAACAGGACCATTAAGAGAAACAAATCACACTCACCGTTAGGAAAAGTAGCATGGTTGATCGGATTGACCTGAGCCCGAGTTTCAACTCGGCGCTTTTGTACAGTTCTATACGTGCAGTTTTAGGAATTTGTACCGCAATAACAGGGCTGCTTCCTTTCTCTGTATCATTTTTAGGGTGCTATCGAGATCACTAAAAAGCTTAACAATGAAACTGCGCTGTGGTGTCGTTCGACACAGCCTCAACTAATTCCCAATTGTGCAGCTCGTGATTTCGCGATTTTGTTGAATTTTCAATTTTTCACACTATTCGGTCCACCCAAAGCGAAATATTAGATTGGTCCATAAACCATGTAACAAATTACACATTAATGCTAGAAAATTTTTTGAGAACTCCGAAAATTCCGCAACATGTTTGTGACGTAGCATCCACCTTTGCAATTTCAGCCAACCGTCCAGCTCGTTGTCTCGCTACTTGTTATGGATATTACACCGATTTCGCGAAAAGCTCTTCGTGCCCTTAATTTTTACGAGTACTGCTTGGAATGTTCCGCAAGTCATGCTACACCAAGGATTAGCCAGAAGATGGGCGAGGGCACGCTCTCTCAATTCACGGTGCACAGGCGCTTCACTCTGCTCAGCTTTTTTATTTGAAATGATCCACACTCCAACCACCCCGTGACTGACAATCACGATGCTCTATCTGACGCTGTTGAAAAGGGATCTGGATAGACTATCGATCATTTGCTAGAGCAATTCCGATGCGACAAGGAGACAGCACTGTGGCATCTCCAAAGACTTGTGAAGATCCGAAAATATAGAGTTTGGATCCCACATGCCTTGAGCCCGATCAGCTCCAAACACGATCTGACATCTTCTTCTTCTTCTCCCTAGCGTTAGTCCCGCGCAGTCGCAGGGTCCGCAGGTGTTTTTGTCAGTCCGTGGCCGCGACCTCACCTAGGTCCTTCTTGATTACGTCTTTCCACCTTTTCTTCGGGGCTCCTTGTACTTCGAAGTCCATCGCTGTTCTTATCGGATGGTCCTGTGGCCTCCTTAGCACATGCCCATACCATCGCAGACGCTGTTCTCGTGATGGAAAAGAGCGAAAAGTGCAGGCCTTGCTACCTAGCCTTCCTCGACCTGGAAAAGGCGTTCGACCGGCTACCGCGAGCAGTGCTATGGAGGTCGCTTAGGGAACGAAACGTGCCAGAACACCTCATCTCTCTGGTGAAGGATATGTACGAAGGAGCCAAGGCAGCTATACGCACCCCATACGGCCTAACGAAGGAGGTGGACATCACGGTTGGGGTGCACCAAGGGTCAGCTCTGAGCCCGTTCCTCTTCCTCCTAACACTAGATGTCCTGGTGAAGGGGCTCATGGAGGGACCACTGAAGACTATCCTCTATGCTGACGACGTCGCCTTGATAGCTGATAGTAGAGAGGAACTTCAAGCCAAGGTGCAGAAATGGCAGAAAGTCCTGACAGAAGGTGGGCTACGGCTGAATGTCAAGAAGACCAAGTTCCTGAGCTCCGCGAAGGGTGAGGACTCCGATACCTTGGAAGCGATCTGGCAGCCGACGGTAGTGTGGATCAGGCGGTGAAGGCTCGGGTCAACGCTGCATGGATGAAATGGAGGGAGTCCACTGGAATCCTCTGCGATCGAAGGTGCTCCAGAGCGCTCAAAGGGAAGGTGTACCGAACAGTGGTAAGGCCTGCGATGCTCTACGGCAGCGAGTGCTGGCCCCTGAACAAGAATCACGAAAGGCAGCTTCACTCTGCCGAAATGAGGATGCTGAGATGGGCCTGCGGCTGGACGCGACTGGACAGGGTCAGGAACGAGGACGTCAGAGCGGTCATGCAGACTGCCCTGTCCAGCTAAAGGATACGAGAACAGCGTCGTTGATGGTATGGACATGTGCTGAGACGACCGCTAGGCCACCCGATAAAGAATGCGATGGACTTCGAAGCGCAAGGCAAACGACCGCGATGAGCCCCAAAGAAGAGGTGGAGAGAAGTCATCAAGAAGCATCTCACTGAAGTCAGG